ATCCACCACCTGAATCTCTTTTGGTCGTTGCTCTTCTGTTTGTGGATCTTCTGTTGGTTGTTCTGCTGTCTCAGCATTGGCTTCATTTATTTCAGTATTGGCTTCATCGTTCGCCAAGTCTTTTTCTTGTGGCCTGCTGAGTTCAGCAGAATCCAATGTTTCAGAAGTCCTTGGCGCTGAGCTTTCAGTGGTGTCCTGAAAAGAGAAGAAGAAGAATCTTCTAAATTCGAAAGAGACATAATCGAACGTGGGTATCGACACCTGAGTTACAAAGGGATCAAAGAGATTACCTGCAAAGGAGCTTCAGCCCCAGGGCTGGAATTGTCGCTTTCGACAGGTTTATTGAGAAGAACATTTAGTTCCTCCTCCGTTGGCTCTTCAATGATTACTGGAGGTGGCCTGGGCTTTCTCCCAGCAACCTTTATCCTGATTGTTCGAGCCTCAGGAAGAGGAACGTCCTTCTTCAGCTTTCGTCTTTTAAGAGGAGCAGAGGGAGAATCATCTTCTTCGTCACTCCCAGATTCGACCGTCAGTGCTGGCCGTTTCTTGGGTGAAGGTGCCTAAAAAACCAATTGGAGTTCGATTTAGAAGTTGCATCGAAAGTCAGAAAGTTAAAGCCAGAAGAAAATAATAAAAGTCTGGTTACCGATGCAGAAGGCTTTTTCGAAGGGCCTTCCCCCTGTTGGTTTGTTGTGGTCTTCGCCGGCGCTATAGTCTTCGCCGGTGGTGGAGGTTTTGTTAAGGGGCCTCCTCCCTGTTGGCCTTCTGTAGCCTTCTTGGCTGCAGGCTTTCGAACAACTGAAAGTAGACGAAATAATTAACGGGATACCAGTCGAAAGGGAAAGACAAAGTAATTTGGAAGGATGAACTTACATTTCTTTATTCTGTCCAAGACAAGGACAAAAGACTTCTGAAGCTCGTCCACGAAGTCCTTCTCGTCGAAAAACTCCTTAGTGTAGTAACTTTTCCACCACTCCTCGAAGGATGGTGAGCAGAGAAAGTTAAGCTGATAGTCAAACAACGAAAGAACTGTTCGACCAGCATATCTGCCGATATGCTTAGTGGCAGCGTCTTCAGTGTAGTCGTTGCTGAAGTATAACATAGACTTCTCCCTGGGAAAAATTGGAGAAGGTAGTGTTTGAATAATACCAAACTGGCGAGACACCAGGTTTGGTTGATACGCGATTAGACTCAAGTGAGTCTTGGAGCTCTTGAATCGCAGGGGCATTATTCTTGGTGTGAGAAATGCCTCCCACACTGTTGTATGTTCGTCGACCTGAGGACCACTCGACGCCCTAGGATGTGGCCTTGTGAACCACTCTGGGCCAACCTTTCGTCGAGCAAACGGAGCCATGGTCGAAGCAAACTCTTTCCTTTTAGCAAACATCAAGACGAAGTTTGTAAAAGTTTGTTGAAGCTCCAGCCCATCTTCCGTTGGAGTCAACAGAGCCAATCTGGTGCCTTCGACGCGTCTATTTGCTATTTCTGGAGCCTGCTCATTTATTTGAGTCTTCTGAGGCAAGAAAGACTCGAAGGTGGCATTGAGCCACAGCTGAAGCAGCCAAAAAGGTCCAGCAAGCAGCAGACTGGCTCCGTTCTCGATGATCTTTAGAAGAGTCGCTCCGTTGCTAATCGACTCGTACAGACTCGCCAAAATCAATTCTGCCAAACAGATATTTTGGCCATGGTGGAGTTGAGTGGCGAGAGTGACCATCTTCTTGGTCACCTGTAGAGACTTAGTGCAAAACACAAAGCGTGTCAGCCATAAGGCTAGAAACGCGATATGTTCTACGTCCGACACAGCGTCCGTCGACTTATCATGGTAGTGATTGATGAAGGTGGTGTAGGTTGGTTTTGTGGCAGAGAATCCAATCTGATCCTCCGACATTTCCTCCGGGTCGAAGTAGTCCCCAGTGGGTCGAAGGCCAGTGATGGCGGCCACGTCGAAGAGCGTGGGAGTCAGCATTCCACAGGGAAGATGGAAGGTGAAATGGGTGTAATCCCAGAAGAGTAAAGAAGCTATCAACATCTCTGGGGAATAGTTAAGACCTGTCTTCGACAGCATAACCAGGTCGAATATCCCCATGTCTTTCCAGATCGAAGCCTGGCGTTTCTCCATTTTTTCCAGCCAAGCACTATAATCAGGAGTGAGGCTAGGGCCAGACCTGAAAGCCCTAACACCTCTATTGAAGAAACGGAGGTCGATTTTCTCCTTAGCAGGATCTTCATTATCCTCTGCATCTTTCTTGGAGCATCCAACCGGTTTGAGTCTCTCAAGTACCAGAAAGTAACTTTTGATCTTCATGGCTTCAGCAATGCTTGGGTATAATGGGCCAGACATGGCAAAGATTTGGTTGGAATATCCAACCGGAATCATGAGGTGGCGTGAATAAGCATCACGTACAGCAATGTCCAAAGGCTCAGGGACCCTTCGTTGGCCCGTGGGAGTCACTACGGGAGCGGTGGAGAAAATCCTAGGTTTGACATTTCCAGAGGGAGTGTTGGTGCTAGGAGCGTTGGAAGAACCAGATGCCATTGTTGATACTAAATTTGAAGATGAAGTGGAGAACAGGTGGTTTGCAAAGGTTGCAAGAGTTTGTGTGCAATAAGGGATATCTGAAAGCAAGGTAGCGTGAAAAAGTCCCACAATGGGTACTTACCGCTATTTATAGTAGTTGGGGAAATCCCCAAATTCGAGGACATTAAATGCCATTTAATATTGCAGAATGTAGTGGGACACGTGGCGTCTCCCTGTTGTTGTAGCCGTTCTGCAGAAATGAAAGGGTGCAGCGTGCGCCCTCGTTTTTGGGAAATGTCATGATGACAATTTGTGAAAAGACGTTTGGCACGCTGCACGCCGTACTGAAGTGACGTCTTAGGTACAGATGAAATGATGGCTTTTCCTTGGGATTGTCAGTGGTTGGTAGAAGACAAAAAAAAGGGTGCACAATTTAATTTGTGACTAAGAATGAAAAGACAGGTGTCGAATGGCATTTCAAAGAATGCCTTTTTCTTTCAGAGTCGAAATAAGGCATTCTTGGGGGGCAATTTGTTGGCTCCTAAATTCGACACCCTTGTTTTATTAATATCAGCCATTAAAGCTGAAGGATGTTTTCGACCAGCTGGATCTGTCGAAATGCCCATCGAAAGGTGGCAATGTACTTAGAGGATTTCTTCCAAGGGAGAAGTTGGTTGCCTTCGACGTCGAAGGTGTTTCTCGTCGAAGATGCTTCTCGACGAAGGTGTTCGATGGTTCAGAGTGGAACGGTTTGAAATTCAAGCGTTTGGAGGGAAAACGGTTTCCAGCGGTTACCAAGTGCAACGTGCAAAGATCTGGAGCGTCGAACGCTGAGAACGTGCCAAGTGGAGTCATCTCGAAGCAGTGTAACTGCCCGACGGTTACTTGGGATGTTTTAGTATAAATAGTAGTAGGTCACGCAGTTTCTCGTGTGTGTTCACAATTATATACAAAGTCACTCATATAGATTCGAGTACCCAGCGTGTGAGAAAGAATTGTTGAGAATGTATGTGTGAAACACCACTTTTATTAATCAAAGTCATTTACTTTTCCAGAAACTTTACTTGCTTTCTTCTTTACTTTTCCTGTCGAAGCCCTTTATTTCAAGCCTTCATTTATTTTATCAAGCCCATTTCTTCATGCAATTTACTTAAAGCCTCTTTATTTTCTTGTCATTTAACCATTATCCAACTTAATCAAAACCTCAAAATCAACCATGTCTTATGATCAATCTGATCGATCCTGCGAGTAACCAAATAAGTAACCATTTGGAGGATCAGCGGTTGTTTACCAATAACAACGGTAAACACCTAGTCAGCCAATTCATGCACCAAACGTAGGAGATTCACTTACAAGCTTTGCTCAGAATCATGCAATATTTAAAATGAACTTTAGGTAGAGGAATTTTGTTTGAATGAAACGGAAGTGTGAGTCTTGAAGCATATAATGATGATGATTATGCAGGGTCGGTTGTGGATTGAAGATCAACTACATGATATTGTACTTTTTTGGGTAGTAATCTTGTAACTTGGAAGAGTAAAAAATAAAGTGTTGTATCTAGATCTAGTGCTGAAGCAGAATTCAGAGCAATGACACAAGGGATGTGTGAGCTATTTTGGCTGAAAATGATATTTGAAGACTCGAAGATAAAGAGTGATGCCAATGAGACTTTATTGTGATAATAAATCTGCTATTAGCATAATCCGTAATCTAGTGCAACATGATAGAATCAAACATATTGAAGTTGACAAACACTTCATCAAAGAAAAGTTAGATAGTAGTCTTATTTGCACTTCATATATTTCTTCTCAAGACAACGATGCATATCTTCTAATTAAGGGGTTGAATAACAATAACTTTGAAAAGATTGCCTCCAAGTTGGGAATGATAGATATTCATTCATCAACTTGAGAAAGAGTGTTGTAAATATGTTATTTTTACTACCGTTAGTATTCAGGCTTTTAGTCCATTAGTTAGGCCTATTAGATTAGAACAGTCTTATATAAAGAGACTATTGCTTGTAATTTGTACATACTTAAAATATATTATTCAATTTCAAACAATAAAGAATTAGTCCTTTAATTGAATTATCAACTCTGATACTACTTATTGAGGAAACGCGATAGCAACAACAAGGCATGACCATAAGAGATGAGTGTGTATCTGCGTAATTTCTTTGATATTCAATATTTCCTCCTTTCATAAAATGTTTTTAAGACTAAAGGCAAATAAACTTGTCCTCCATTCAAAAAACTGAAAAATACTAATTTCACCACCTTGTTCGTTTTGTTTTTTATCTCTTCAAATAGTATAAGTTTGAATATACACCTTAAGTTAACGACAACAAAATTCCAATCATTTATCTTCTCTTGAGGGTAGGGACTTATCCAACCAACTTATTTAAGACCGACATTGACTTGCACCTTATTTTGCTCCAAGCTTTTGGATACCTGACAACAAAAATCTTGAATTAAGATTCACCATGGATGTGGAAGGAAGAACAGACAATGCCAATGATAACTCTCTCACTCTCAACATCGAACATGATCAAGAAAAGGATATCCCAAATGATAGTTATGACCTTTCTACTGCCCATACTATTGACCGAGGTATTGTTTGTTTTATTCTCTGCTAAATTCTGATTTATGTAATAAACTAGTTTGTTTTTCACATGATGTTTAATTTGCAGATTCATGGCAACAAGTGGGATTGATGTTGGTGACGGGGTTCAACTGCGGTTGGATATTCAGTTTCTCGAACCTGATTATGGTTCCACTTGGTTGGACTTGGGGTGTTGTATTGCTTTTTGCTGTTGGATTATACACAGCTTATGCTAATTGGCTCTTAGCAGCATTTCATTTCATTGATGAACGTAGATTCATCAGATACAGAGATCTCATGGGATTTGTTTATGGTTTGTTTTCTTTTCTTTTCATTAGTTATATGTTAAAAATTGCTATTTAAACACAATTTTGAGACAAATATGAGGACACACATGTAACTTTTGTCATTAACTATTTTGAGTTATTTTTATTGACACTAAAATGCAAGTTTTGTGATAGGAAAATAGAACAAAAGAGTAGCAAGACTCTACCCAAGTCAAAATCCCGCATAAAAAAATGTCTAGAGACAATTAAAAAAAAAAATCAAAACCACTCAAAAGTATTATTGACCCAAACAAACCATAGAGTTCACTATAAGCAACTAAAGAAAGAAAAATAGCAATTCAGGGACATTCCAATATACCATTTCTGTTTTAGAGCGATGCTCATATCTTTTAGATCCTTCACATTTTCATATTTTGTTATGTAAATAGTAAAATTCTAAAAAAGCGATAAAATATAACAATTAATGCAATTCCACATGTTTCTAGAGAGAGAAACTCTCTCCTCTCTTTAAAAATTTAGCGTGTCTTTTCCTTCTCTCTTTTAGGGTTTGGAAGCGCTTATCTTTTCTCCTCTCTAGTCATTATGGTTAACTCCAATTCTCTATTGGTTTGCTCTCCTTGCATAGGAGCTTATTTGTTCTACTTTTTCTACTCTTCAATGGTGTTTGTGTCAGCCCCTGCTTCGGTACCCATGGACAAGTAGAGGAACATCCCTGTCTAAGGAGGAAGAAGAGGGTACTACTGTAGAAGTTGAAGAAGTCCATGTCGAGGAAATCTTTCAACGAACCTTAGCGGCGAAACTGTGTACTGACAACAGTTTCAATTCGAGAGCTTTCACCGATGGTGGGAGCCTGGAAACTCAAGAATCTGGTGGAATCTCAAGAACTAAGTAAAAATCTGTTTTTGTTTCTCTTCGCGACAAAGAGGGATATGGAGGGGGTTCTGCGCAATGGGCCTTGGAGCTTCGATCGAAATCTTTTGGTTCTTGCTCGTGTCTCCGATGAAGAACAACCGTCAGATCTCAATATTCATTTTGGAGTCTTCTGGGTCAGGATTTATGAGGTCCCACTTATGCTAAGATCAGAGGCAATGGCGAGGAAATTAGGTGGGATCCTTGGGGTTTTTGAAGAGATGGATCAGAAAGAAGCTCATAAAAATGGTAGGTTTTTGAGAATCAAAGTGACAATACATCTCAAGCAACCGTTGAAGAGAGGTACGATTGTGAGATTCAAAGACAAGAACCTCTGTGTTCACTTTAAATATGAAATACTTCCGACTTTCTGTTTCATCTGTGGAAGAGTGCGGCACCAACTATAGCATTGTGACGCAGTGGGGGTCTAAGTGAAAAGGATTTTGAAGAGCTTGAGGAACAAGGTCTATCCTTTGGGGTGTGGTTGTAAGCGTCGCCGCTACCGAGGGTTCCAAATGATAAGAATAAGAAAGATTCCACATACAGTTCATGCAACAAAAGCCTGTTTAACACTCCTTCTGGCCAGAGCAGGTGTGAAGCTAAAGGAAAAGGAAAATAGATTGATGAAGGGGAAGTTGATCAGGAAAAAGGCAAAAAACCAGAGGAGGTTCCTGCTATGCCGCCACCATCAGTTTTGGCTAATGCATCTGGGGGTAATTTGTTGGAGATAGAAGCGGTGGCGGAATCGTTTGGGGCAGTTGATATCTCTAACACGGGGAGCGGGAAAGATCTTTCATCTAAGGCTCAAGAGGGGAAATGAAAGAAGTGGACCAGGAAGAAACCAATCAGGAAATCTCCCTTCAGTCAGGAAGAGAAGATTGATATGGAGGTGGGGAAACGACACATTGTTGACGTTATGGTTGTAGATGGTACTGTTGGAGGGTGGGGGAATGGCAAAAAAAAAGTTGAAAGGCCATGATGTTTCACATTCTTCTCATGAAAACGAACCAGAGGCGGTGTTGGAAAGCCAACACCACCTACAACAATGAAGATCCTTAGTTGGAACTGCACAGAGTTGTCAATAGTGGACGCTCCGGCCGCTATAGCGGCGCACCGTAGCGGTGCGGCACCCCCCGCGCGCTATTTAGGGTGCGGTAGCGGAGATGAAAAAGCGGCCGTTTCAGCCGCGTTCCCGGGTAGCGGGAAGTTCCCGGGCGGAGCGGCTCCGGTTCTCTTTTTTTAAAAAAATAATTTTCTGGGCCAAATTACTTAAATGCCTCTGTTTTAAAACAATTTTTGTTTTCTTTCTCCCTCATTCGCTGTATTTTATCGTGCCCTAGTTCTTCAACTCTCCTTCTACGATTCTGCCGCCATCTCCCTGCAACTCTCCTTCTTCAATTCTTCCTCCATCTCCTTCTGCCATCTCTCAGGTAATTTCTTCTAATTCTTCAACTTATTCTACTTCAACTTATTCTACTTCTTTTCTTTCTACTTCTTTTCTTTCTACCTTCTACTTCTTCTATTTTTGTTTTGTTGTAAACACCGTTTCTTTCTATTTTGAAGAAGTTGAAGATGAAGAATTGGAGGCATATGAAGAAAATGAAGAATTGGAGGAATATTTTGATGATGCTACATGATTTCTATGTTTGCTTGAATTTTCATATGATAGTACTAAGTTTGAATTTGAATCTTTATGTTTTGAATCTTGATTAAGCATTGTTCTTGGTTTGACATTAGATTTTATAAATATTTTATGAGTGTTGTAAAATTAGTTTAGTATTACATGATATATGTTTTATAGATTATTATATAATTATTAGTATACAAAAAGCTATCCCGCTATTCGAGATCCCGCTATTCCCACTTTTCCCATTCCTGGGGGTCGACCGCTCCGCTCTGCTATCTGGAATTAATAACTCTGGAACTACAGGGGATTAAGAGATCCTCGTACAGTTCGAGCCTTGTTAAGCCTCATTCGTATTGAAAATTTTGTGGTTGTGTTTTTAATGGAATATAGACTTAAGTAGGAGGAGGTTCAATCTATTAGAGTTAGGTGTGGTTTTGATAATTGTTCCAGTTTGGATATAGCTGGAGGTTTAATGTTGCTTTGGAATGAGAGTGTTAACATCACTATTACTTCTTACTCTCTCAACCATATTAGGAGTTCTGTGGCAGATGATAGTGATAGTCAGGGTGGTTCCTTAATTGGATTTATGGATACTCAAAAGAGCATAACAAGAGAAAGACTTGGATGCTTCTTCAAGATTTAGAGTCTCGAGGAGGGGATAGATCTTTGTGTTTGGAGATCTCAATGTTGTTCTTTATGACCATGAGAAATCTGGAGGGAATTTATGAACTTCTAGTCAATTCATGTGGGGGAGACAATCTTTGGACAATTATGGTTTGGTTGATTTGGGATTCGTGGGGTATCCGTTTACATGGACGAATGAGAGATGAGGGAGTGAGAATATTCAAGGTCGTTTGGATAGAGCTTTAGCTTCGAACAACTTTATCAATAGGTTCTCTCCGGTGGAGGTTAGCCATTTGTCTAAATGTCGGTCTGATCATGTTGTCATTAGAATTTTTCTTGAAGCGGACACATGCAACTCTAGCAGGAAAAAATAACATTTTTTCAAGTTTGAGGAGGTTTGGAGTAAATATCCAAGATGTGAAGGCTTTGTGCAGCAGCTATGGAACAATGGCAATAACATTAGCGGGAATAAGAGGGTTGCGATGAAAGAATTAGATGATTTGTTTAAGGAGTACAAAATTGGATTGGTTAACAAAGAAATAAGGAGAATTGGAGACCCCTTGAAGGATGATAACTTTTGGGATGCGAGTGAGGATTCTATTAACTCCTACAAGGCGCTGGAAAGTCAAAGAAATAACCTTCTCCGGGTGGAGGAAGTTATATAGAGACAAAAAAGTAGAGTGTTTTGGCTTAAGCATGGCGATCGAAACACAAAATTCTTCCATAAGAAAGCTGATCAAAGGAGGAAAGTCAATGCCATCAAGAAATTAAAGGATGCTAGCGGTGTTTGGTGGAGAGAGGAATATCATTGTGAAAGGTTGTTGGTAAACTATTTCTCTAAGATTTTCTCCTCCTCATCCCCCATTAATATCCAAGAGGTGTATTCTGTTGTCCATGGGAAACTCAACCAGACCATGTTCAGTAGTGTGAGAGTAAGTTTACCCTTCTAGAGGTGGAAGAAGCGCTGCACCAAATGAACCCCCTTAAAGCCCTAGGTCCCGACGGTCTCCCATCACTTTTGTTTCAAAAATTATGGCTTATTACTTAGAAATAGCCTTCCTTAGAAATAGCCTTCAACTCTCCTTCTACTTCTTGCACATAGAATCCAATCCCTTCCTTAGAAATAGCCTTTAACACGATTCTCTAATTTACTTGGCTATTACACATGGATAAATCTCCTTGAATAATATGCTTGTTCCCTTGCACTTCCCACTTCAAGCATAAGTTTCCAAAATTTGCTTGTATGTTGCCTACACTTGCTAATCAGTCCATGCCTAACACCATCTCTAAACTATTAAGTTCCATGATAAAAAAATGTTGTTGGAACTTAACATCTTGGATGTTGAATTCCAACTTTTCACATACCCCCTGATTCTTCAGCTTTTCTCTATTCCTCATCTCAATGACATAAGTAGATGTCTCAGTTACTGCTAAACTGAGATTGGTTTCCAATTTAGAAGCTATGAAATTGCTTGTAGCTCCTGAGTCTATCAATGTCAACACCCTTCTGCCTCCTATGTCAGCCCACACCTTAAAAGACTTGTTGGAAGTGAATCCTTCTTTAATCTGCAAAGACAGTTGTAAAGTCTTTAACTTCTCTACTGTTTCACCCTCTTCCTTCTGCTCTGTCCCCAGTCTTCTCCTTCCTCCTCTTCACTGCTTGCTTCACATAATTTCAGTTTCATGTGCTTGAACTTACACACATGTTCCCTATTCCATTTATCCCCACACTTGAAACACAATCCCTTCTTACTTCTTTCCTCCAATTCGGCAGGGTTAAGTCTTCTTCCTTTGGACTTATCAGTAGTCACTAAACCAATTTTCTCATTCTCCTTCTTAAACCCACTGTACTCACCAGGATCCTTGAACCTCGTGGTACCTCCCTTATCCCTCCAACCACTTCCTCTCTTCCAAACCACTTCATTTTTTTCTTCAATGAGTAAAGCCCTGGCCATTAATTCAGCTAAGTCATGCCTCTCATATAATTTTAATGCTGCTTGAATTTCCTCCTTCAAGCCATTTAAAAAAATTGACTCCAACATCACCCTTTCTTCCCTACAAAGAGGTGCTACAAGTCATTCAAACTTGTTCCTGTACTCCATCACAGTACCCTTTTTCCTCAAACTCAACAGTGGTCTCAATGGGTTATGCAGTAACCCAGGTTGGAATCTTCTAAGGACTGCTATTTTGAACCCTTCCCACGTTCTCAATGGTGTTTGCTCCTCCCACCATTGAATCCAGTTCAAAGCCTTCTCTTCTAGCGCCAAAACCATTGTATCCACCTTGTCTTGCACACGTGTTTCATTCAACCTAAAATAACGTTCCATTCGTACTAACCACCCATACACATTCTCCACTTTGAAAATCAGAATCGCATACTAGGTCGCTCTCTTTAAGACGTTTCGCGGCACTGCTCAAAATTATGCAAAGCAGTCAAACTATCGCGCCGCCTCCAAGATAAAACAGCCCAGTTCTATACTGTATGATTACTACTTGCATGATAGATAATCGGTCTAGAAATACACCCTCTGATGGTACAAGACCATTCAAATATGGTATCAACACCACTCGTAGTATCTGGTACCAAGACCAGTCATAATAATTTCTTAAACAAAAAGAAACTCAAATAATTCTCCAAAGAGAAATTAATAATGGTCATTTGACCACTCATAATAATTTCTCCAACAAAGAGAAATTCAAATATTTCTCTAAAGAGAATCCAAAAGATTAAACTTGAAAATTTCTCAACTCAAATGAGGAGAAATTAACATAATTCTCTAAAGAGAATTCAAGAAAATACTCGGAAAATTCAACGAGTAGGAAGAAAGGGGAAGAAGATGGCGCTTCGACAATTCGAGAGACGCAGAGTTATGAGAGTGAGGAAGGAAAAACTAATAGAATAGTTTTTGGTGTAATTTAGAATGAAACATGTGCACTCCTTATATAGTGAAGTAAGATAGTTAATATTTCTCACATGAGCAATGTGAGACTAAATGGTTTTTTCAACCAAAAAAATATTCTAACAATGTGGGACTTGAGAAATTTTTAAATTCAACATATTGAAACATGGACATGTTCTAACAATCCCCCACTTGAATTTAAAAAATTGATTTTAGAAGTAACGTCAAACGTTTCTAAGATTGTGCATAAACAAAG